GAAGGAACCCTCTACCACCATCACTACAGCCTTCTACCACTATTACAACTGTTACCACCATCACTACTACCTTCTACCACCAAAGAAAGCTTCTAGTGCCAGCCCTTTGGTAAAGAATGTGAGAAACATAATTTATGAAAAAGTTTGTAGAAAAATATGAAGATGGTGGTGGTAGAGTGGAAGCAGTTGTGTTAGTGGTTGATGAACATAAGAAAGGAGGATCACTGCAGCAGGCCTGTTGGCCCATGCTCGGCAGGTCCTTTACAATTCATCCCACTAACGAAACATTTTCCCAACCCAGTCCTCAATGCTACCCAAGAAATAAGCTCTGATAACTCTATCCACTCATTTGCAAGTCCCAAATGAGCAGATAGTTATCAGAGCTTATTTCTTGGGTAGCATTGAGGACTGGGTTGGGAAAATGTTTCGTTAGTGGGATGAATTCTAAAGGACCTGCCGAGCATGGGCCAACAGGCCTGCTGCAGTGATCCTCCTTTCTTATGTTCATCAACAACTGCTTCCACTCTACCACCACCATCTTTGTATTTTTCTACAAACTTTTTCATAACTTATGTGTTTCTCACATTCTTTACCAAAGGGCTGGCACTAGAAGCTTTATTTGGAGCCATGGTAGCTTATTTAGCACTTGCAAGCACTGAAATCAATGGAATATTATGAAATATTTCGTAGGAACATGAGGGGACCGTCACTCACTGGCAAACAATGGCACACTGGCTGGGAAGGAAAGGCCGAGGCGGCTGAGAGCGTGAGTATGCGTCCAGGACGAAGGACTATTAGGACTATTAGCGAGCTACCGGACCATTTGTGAGCCAATATTTTGACGAAAAAACAGGGCTATTTCCGAAATGGACGACTTTCAGGCCGGACGATTATTGAGGGACCACTGTATGTGTATTGTACTTTATTGTTTTTTGATGCCTGATTCTATTGCTAACTTAATATATATGTTAGTGTAAACTTGTTATCTAGTGTTTGTATGCATTTATAAGTGGGAAAAAAAAAAGGGTGTTTAACTTTACGGCGATTTCAGCTTTACGGCTGTAGCCTGGAACCTAACCTGCCGTGTAAGTGGGGCCCTACTGTATACGAGTCTGAACAATCACTAGTCCAGATGAACTGAATTTTGCTACTAGTGAGCTCAGTGAGAGGTGCAGGTGGAGGTGTGTGTGTGCTGGCTTGCCTATCACTTGACAGACGTGGCAACGTCGCACATGATCAGCTACTGTTTCTTTCATTTTTTGCCAAGTAAAATGTTTTGCCAGTTTACCGAGTGTCTTCTTGACACCCAAATGTCCTCCAATGGGACTATTGTGAGCAAAATCAATGGCTTGTTCACGAAATGTAACTGGTAACACTGCTAGATGCTTGACTGTGGTGGAAAAACTATCAGCTGACAACTTGCATGTATTTTTCTCCAGTACACCAATACTATAATAGTAACAATTATCGAGATCCTTCACTTCACTCTCAGTAACTGCTATATCTCTGTCTTTCCAGTGACTGATAAACAAACTGATCCTTGATTAAATCATCATGAGAAATTTAACGTTGGTTGTGTCCTGACTAGGTTGATGACGGGGGAGCCAGCGTTAATGATCCTGGGCACAGAGCATCACTGAAAAACATATTCAAGCCCAGATCATTGTCATCCACTAACTCAACAGGAGACAAGGATGGTTGTTGTATCTTTGACATAGCTCTAGTAATTGCACTGAGAGGAAATAAAATAGGCTTCTCTCTACAAGCTTCAATGGCATAATTGTCATCAGTGGTATTATCAATCACAAGTGGTTCCTTACATATACCAGCATGAAGGATATTGTTCCCTATCAACAAGTCCACTGACCTGATGGGACATACACCACTGAAATATAACCAGTATAATAGCTTGTTTCAATGTAAACTTTGTGTAGAGGTACTTTTATAACAGCCCCACCATAGACTTCTAACAATACATCTATCTTGCAATAGGTATCATCAGTTATGGGCGGTACATCTTCTCTCAATAACGTGAGATAACCACCAGTGTCTCTGAAAGTAATTATCTCAGATGTGATTTGTCAAGTCCTACTTTACCTCTCGATAAGTAAGGACTCATCGCTGAACGAATCTTTTCATCAGATACACTTTCAAACGCTAGTCATCTATTCTGAGTAATATTATCTAAAACAGTGGGATTAGAGGTATTACTAGGATTTTGGTGCCTTTATTACACGGAAGGGGATACGACTTGTGTGGGGGCGCCAGCCGCACGACCGCTTCTCGCATCTTTCTAACTTGTAGCAATACTCTCTAGCATGTCCTTTTCTGTTACAATAGGTACATTTAGCTTTCTTCTCGGTATCAGACTTCTGTCTTACCACAGAGACAGATTCAGGATTGTGAGTTTTCCTGGTAAAGGTACGAGAAGTTACAGTAGCAGGTACATCACACCGGCACTGATCAGCTGATTTAGGTTGCCAACTTCTAGGACAATTTTTAGTTACCTTGTTTCTCTGTGTTTTAGTACGTACAAGTTTGTGAGAAATCTCGTAATTGTCTGCTAATGCTGCAGTTTCCAGAATATCCGGGGCAGTATGATCGATCAGATATTCTTGTATGTCAGCAGACATACAGTTGTTAAACTCTTTGTGAAGTAACAACTGAACCAGACTGTCATAATTATTGCACTTAGCAGCTCTGCACCACCTCTTAAATGCAACTTTTTTCTCACGAGCAAACTCTACACCAGATTGATCTTGTCATCGTTGTAACATACGAAATGCACGTTGATAACTTACAGGTAACAAGTTACAGTGGACCCCCGGTTTGTGTTATTAATCCGTTCCTGAGAGCTCATCGTAAACAAAAATTGTCGAAAAGCGAATCAATTTTCCCCATAAGAAATAATGGAAATCATATTAAACTGTGCAAGACACCCAAAAGTATGAAAAAAAAAAATTTACCACATGAAATATTAAGTTTAATGCACACAAACTGAAGAAGACATGCACAGTTTGTAGTACTCTACTAACAATAGAATACATGACACGTACCTTTAATGAAGATCTGGTGATGATTGATGGGATGGGAGGAGGGGAGAGTGTTGAAGTTGTTAATGTTTAAAAGGGAAATCCCCTTCCATTAGGATTTGAGGTAGCAAGTCCTTTTCTAGGGTTACTTCCCTTCTTCTTTTAATGCCACTAGGACCAGCTTGAGTCACTGGACGTCTGTTGCACAACATGTCTGTCCATAGAGGCCGGTACCTCGCATTCCTTTATGACTTTCCTAAAGTGATTCACAACATTGTCAGTGTACAGGTTGCCAACACGGCTTGCAGTAGCTGTGTGAGGGTGATTTTCATCAAAAAAGGTTTGCACTTCAAGCCACTTTGCACACATTTCCTTAATCTTTGAAGTAGGCAACTTTTTCAATTTCTCTATCCCCTCCTCCGAAGCAGTTTCCTCAGGTCTGGCCTCTTGCTGTTGAAGGTGATCTAGCAGCTCATCAGTGGTTAGTTTGTCATTGTCCTCCTCCACCTACTCTTCCACATCCTCCCCACTAACCTCCAAGCCCAAGGACTTCCCCAATGCCACAATGGATTCCTCATCTGGCATAGGATTCCCAGGGTTAGCCTCAAATCCTTCAAAATCCCTTTTGTCTACACATACTGGCCACAGTTTTTTCCAAGCAGAGTTCAGGGTCCTCTTAGTCACTCCCTCCCAAACCTTACCTTTAAGGTTTACACAATTAAGGATATTAAAGTGATCCTTCCAAAACTTAGAGTCAATGGAGTGTCTGTGGTCACTTCAAAGCACCTTTCAAACAGCTTTTGTGTACAGTTTCTTGAAGTTGGAAATGACCTGCTGGTCCATGGGCTGCAGGAGAGGAGTGGTATTAGGAGGCAAAAACTTGACCTTAATGAAGCTCATGTCCCCGGAAAGTCGCTCTGCCAAGTCTGTAGGATGACCAGGGGCATTGTCTAATACCAGGAGGCACTTAAGGTCTAATTTCTTTTCAATTAGGTAATTTTTCACATCGGAGGCAATTGCATGGTTTAACCAGTCAGAAAAAGCCCCTAGTGACCCATGCCTTACTGTATGCCCTCCACAGCACACACAAATTAGCCTTGAGGATATTCTTTTGCCTGAATGCTCTGGGAGTTAGTGATACACCAATAAAGGCTTCACTTTGCAATCACCACTAGCATTGGCACACATCAGAAGAGTAAGCCTGTCTTTTATAGGCTTATGTCCTGGGAGTGCCTTTTCCTCCTGAGTAATGTAGGTCCTGCTTGGCAATTTTTTCCAAAACAGGCCTGTTTCATTGCAATTAAACACTTGTTCAGGTTTCAAGCCTTCACTGTCTATGTAATCCTTGAATTCCTTCACATATTTTTCAGCTGCTTTTTGGTCCGAACTGGCAGCCTCACCATGCCTAATCACACTATGTATGCCACTACGATTCTTAAATCTTTTAAACCAACCTTTGATGGCCTAAATTCACTCGCATCACCACTAGTTGCAGTTAATTTCTTTACCAAATCGTCATGCAACTGCCTAGCCTTTTCACAAAGGCTAGGCATCTCTCCCCATCTCTCTTTCTGGCCCTTGTTGGGTAATGCCTCTCCTTCCTTCCACTTGTTCATTCTGTCCTCTTCCATCTAATAATGCCCAAATCACCTCAACAGTCCCTTCTTGTCTCTGTATTATATTTATGGTAACCCCCACCCCTCCCCCTCAGAATTCTTATTGATTGATGTCTCTTGATGTACTCTAGTCAATTTCAATATATATATTTTTTTGACATTCTGGCTGTCTCCCACCAAAGTGGGGCAACCTACACACAAAAAAAATCACCAACATTCACACTATCACACTGTGTTGCCAGACACGCAAGTATGGCAGTTTAGATGTTCCTCCAAACAACAAATATCCTAAACCCCTCAGTATTGGACATCCAAAATAACAAGATAATTTTATATTTTTTTTATTTTTCAGGGCCTCCATTCCAGAGCCTCCAGTTAGTACAGAATTTGTGGAGCGTTCTAAAACTTCAAACTTGAAAGAGCCATCTGTTTTGTCGGGTATGTATTCCTGCGATATGTTCTGCATTCTTCTCCTCAGGGCTGTGGTCTGCCTCTAGGGTCACTTAATACTCGGCAAGAAAGAGAGTGAGAAAGCTTCTTGAACTTTTTAACAAAATCTCTTGCTTTTAGCTCTGAAATGACAGTTAATGTTCAAGAAGGTTTTATCCCTTATTTAATCACTTTCAGTCTGATCTTGCTGAAAAACATTTTCAACAGTTTTAAGACTTAAAGATTTTGAATTTTTAACAGTTTGTCTGCAGCAAAAAGTGCCATGTGGAAACTAGTAACATTTGGTTACTTAGAATGCCAAAATAACTAGGCATGGTACTAACAAACCCACATGAAGAAAATAAAATATCTGAGTATTGTATATTTCAGCCTAAATTTGAGGGCTTCTTGAGCAGTGTTAGTCCAAAATATACAATACTCATATTTAAATTTTTTTCTTACTTGGGTTGAGTCACAAATTGTGCCTTTTTATTCTTTACTTGGGTTAAGTTATGCCACTGACAAGTGTTTTGTGTTTTTAACACTTTTGGTTCTGGATATCTAGTAATATTTCTCAGGTGATTTGCTGCAGGTAGACATTTCATGGGGCTAGTGTCCCTCATATGCTGCAGTTATCTATGGTCTTTTTGACTTGTTGCAGATGTGTTGCAGTGGCTCTCTGCTGTTGATATTTCACCGTGGGCTGCCGTGCAGGTGTAGGTACGAATCGCCAACAGAGAACTACATTTATTCTTCCAGTGGCTTGTGCAGCATAATTAGCTGCTCACTGCTATAGTTATCATTAGGGGTTAAGATCTTTGATCTTTTATGGGGGTACTTAGGACTGGTGAGAATCCAGCTTGATTCCATGCCTCTTCAATGGCATAACCCAGTAACAGTGACATCAAGCATCAGGGCAACCATGATAGTGATTGATGTAATGTGGGGTAATGTGCTGCTGAACCTAGACCCCCACCTCCCATTCCTACCCATTTCTTCCTTTTATTATGTCAGTGTTCAGGTCCTTGGGGTCGCCACCGTGTGTTCCTCACTGGCCGGGTAAGTTCAGGTAAGTTCTTCCTTAGTCTGATAGAATGAATGCCAGTTTTTTCATATTGGGAAATAGGAGTTGATCTTTCAAAATGACCATGTACTATCAGCATTATCTTATAGTTAGCCTGATTTTTAGACAAGGATGTTGCAGTTAGGTACTTTTCATGTTTAGTTTTTAAACAATTATCAATATTGTACTAATTGGTCTCTTGAGCATACCATATACTGTATGTGGAGATTGTCTTACTAAAAAAAGTAAATATATTTTATATAATCCTTTTCTGCTTCAGTTGTATGAATGTGTGCCATATGTATGAGTAATAGGTATAGACCAGTGGTGAAAGAAAAAATGCTTCTTTAGACTAATGTTACTTTAGAATGAATGAGAAAAACAGACTTATGGATCTATCTGTTCACAGGAACAAGCGAGGATGGACGCAGAAGTGAAAGTTTGGACAGCAGGAGGAGCAAGTCCCGGCCGCTAGAAGTGCCTCACCGGGAAAAGTAAGATTTTTGATCATTGCAGTATGATTTGTCACTAACATACCACATAAGACATGTAATTACATTTGAGCTTGTGTTGGGTGAACTGAAGCTCTTGGACAGTTCACTTTTGATCAATTAAATTATTGCTATGGTATTTACATTTGACCTATATACAGGTGTCCCTCAACATTCGCGAGGGTTAGGGGATCAAGAGCCTCGCGAATGTTGAAAAACCGTGAATGTTTGGTGCCCCAATATATTGTAGGGAAATACAATACTGCTTAACTTGTTGAACCATGAACAATCATAAAATACATGAAAATGTCGTAAGTTGTACTAAATATATACATGTTATGCTTTAATAACATGTATGTTATTAAATACCACAGACTCCACCACTGCCTCCACCACTTCCTCAACCAATGTGAGTCCCTACTACCCTCCCTCCGACCCCCGCAACTGGCAGCCAGCCCTCCCACCACTCAGTGTAGTGAGTGTTTTGTTTGTTCATTATTTGCTATTAAACTACAGTATAAATAATTTAAACACATTCATGACTGCATATTGGAATGGCTATTTGAACAGGTATTGGACGGTGACATCATGTGTTTACTCTTGAACACAGCAAAGAATCAAACATTTCTGCTACTGCTAATAATAACAATAGTAATAATAATAATAATAATAATAATAATAATACGATATAATTGAAGAAGGAAATTGTACAAAAATACGAGGGAGTGGTTGACACATCGTCAGTGTGACTTTGTTTATGCTGGAGTGAACATTAGTCTCCCTGCTCTTCCAAACATTTCACAATAATTCAGCGGTAGAGGCAGTGGTAGAGGCAGTGATAGAGGCAGTGATAGAGGCAGTGGTATTTACTAACATATACGTATGTTATAAATAATAATAGTACATGTTAATATTAATAACATTTATAATAATAATAATAAATGTTATTCATTATGTACTATTATTATTTATAACATATATGTTAGTAAATCTAGGTAGTAGGTTGGTAGACAGCAACCGCCCAGGGAGGTACTACCGTCCTGCCAAGTGAATGTAAAACTGAAGCCTGTAACTGTTTTACACGATGGTAGGATTGCTGGTGTCTTTTTTTTTTCTGTCTCATACACATGCAAGATTTCAGGTATGTCTTGCTACTTCTACTTACACTTAGGTCACACTACACATACATGTACAAGCATATATATTCACACCCCTTTGGGTTTTCTTCTATTTTCTTTCTAGTTCTTGTTCTTGTTTATTTCCTCTTACCTCCATAGGGAAGTGGAACAGAATTCTTCCTCCGTAAGCCATGCGTGTTGTAAGAGGCGACTAAAATGCCGGGAGCAAGGGGCTAGTAACCTCTTCTCCTGTATATATTACTAAATGCAAAAGGAGAAACTTTCGTTTTTCCTTTTGGGCCACCCCGCCTCGGTGGGATACAGCCGGTGTGTTGAAAGAAAGAAGAATGTTAGTAAATATCACTGCCTCTATCGCTGCCTCTACCACTGCCTCTACCACTGCCTCTACCACTGCCTCTACCACTGCCTCTACCACTGCCTCTACCACTGCCTCTACCACTGCCTCTACCACTGCCTCAACCACTCCAGTCACACTCAATCTACAAGCACCAAACAATGAATTATTGTGAAATGTTTGGAAGAGCAGGGAGACTAATGTTCACTCCAGCATAAACAAAGCCACACTGACGATGTGTCAACCACTCCCTCGTATTTTTGTACAATTTCCTTCTTCAATTATATCGTATTATTATTATTATTATTATTATTATTATTTTTATTTTATTATCACACTGGCCGATTCCCACCAAGGCAGGGTGGCCCGAAAAAGAAAAACTTTCGCCATCATTCACTCCATCACTGTCTTGCCAGAAGGGTGCTTTACACTACAGTTTTTAAACTGCAACATTAACACCCCTCCTTCAGAGTGCAGGCACTGTACTTCCCATCTCCAGGACTGAAGTCCGGCCTGCCGGTTTCCCTGAACCCCTTCATAAATGTTACTTTGCTCACACTCCAACAGCACGTCAAGTATTAAAAACCATTTGTCTCCATTCACTCCTATCAAACACGCTCACGCATGCCTGCTGGAAGTCCAAGCCCCTCGCACACAAAACCTCCTTTACCCCCTCCCTCCAACCTTTCCTAGGTCGACCCCTACCCCGCCTTCCTTCCACTACAGACTGATACACTCTTGAAGTTATTCTGTTTCGCTCCATTCTCTCCACATGTCCGAACCACCTCAACAACCCTTCCTCAGCCCTCTGGACAACAGTTTTGGTAATCCCGCACCTCCTCCTAACTTCCAAACTACGAATTCTCTGCATTATATTCACACCACACATTGCTCTCAGACATGACATCTCCACTGCCTCCAGCCTTCTCCTTGCTGCAACATTCATCACCCATGCTTCACACCCATATAAGAGCGTTGGTAAAACTATACTCTCATACATTCCCCTCTTTGCCTCCAAGGACAAAGTTCTTTGTCTCCACAGACTCCTAAGTGCACCACTCACCCTTTTCCCCTCATCAATTCTATGATTCACCTCGTCTGTCATAGACCCATCTGCTGACACGTCCACTCCCAAATATCTGAATACATTCACCTCCTCCATACTCTCTCCCTCCAATCTGATATCCAATCTTTCATCACCTAATCTTTTTGTTATCCTCATAACCTTACTCTTTCCTGTATTCACTTTCAATTTTCTTCTTTTGCACACCCTACCAAATTCATCCACCAATTATTATTATTATTATTATTGTTGTTATTTTTTTTTTCAACAATTTTTTTTCAATAATTATTATTATTATTATTATTATTATTACTATTGTTATTAGCAGTAGCAGAAATGTTTGATTCTTTGCTGCGTTCGAGAGTAAACACATGATGTCACCGTCCAATACCTGTCCAAATAGCCATTCCAATATGCAGGCGTGAATGTGTTTACATTATTTATACTGTAGTTTAATAGCAAATAATGAACAAACAAAACACTCTCCACACTGAGTGGTGGGAGGGCTGGCTGCCAGTTGTGGGGGTCGGGGGAGGGTAGTAGGGACTCGCAGGTGGCGGGAAACTTGAATATGATTTGGCGGCTGGGAATTTGGTGGCTGGGAATTTGGCGGTTGGGAATTCGCGAATGTGTGAAGCCCGCGAAAGCTGAAAACGTGAATGTTGAGGGAGACCTGTACAGTGCTGGTCACGGCATTATGCTGGGTGAGCACCCTTGCATAATGCAGTGATGAAAATCAGAGGCCTACCATACAAGGGGTCTTCTCGTCAGTGCATTATGCCAGGTAGCAGCCGTTAGCATGATGTCATGGCCTGCCTCCACAGTCCACAGTGACTCCTCAGTGCTCACGTGGCTTCCATGGTGAGAGGAAGTGTTGCACTTTTATCTCTCATCCGCTCCATCTTTTGTCCAGTGTTCCTTTTGGTTTTGGGGCTATACATTTTTGATTATAGGTAAAAGGAAGTCTTTAACACATGAAACTATAGCTCAACTCATAGGGCTTCACAAAGCTAGGCACCAGATGAAAGAAATAGTGGAGAATGTTGGTGTATGTGAGCGTTCAATGAGGAACTGGTTGCAGCGTTTTAAGGCTGGTGGCGGTGTCGAGTTACTGTCTGTCAAACCTTTGTCTGACCCCTCAAAAAAGGCATCTGTTTGCACCTTAACTGTGTTAAAGAAGCAATTAGAGAGTACACCTAATATCACTGCTAGAGAATTGAAAGAAAAGAACCTGTATCTTCTCTCAGGGGTGTCTGTAAGAACTGTTAACAGACATGTGACAGAACTGGGCTACAGTAGTCACTGCCAGGTTAAGAAACCGATCCTCTCCAAGCCACAAAAGACACATAGGCTGGATTATGTAAAGAAATATCTTCACTGGAATCCTCAACAGTGGCCTGAAGTACTTTTGAGTGGTGAAGCAACCATCACCATCACCTGTAACTGTGGGGGATGTATACCAGCCCAGAGGTAGTGACCCGCTAGACCCACACTACGTCCGTGGGACCACCAAACACCCAGACTCGCTCATGGTTTGGGGGTGTTTCAATGCCCAGAGTGTTGGTGAACTTATTGTGCTTCCCAAAAACCAGTATAATTACCTGGAGTTAGTGTGACAATTTACCCGAGGCGTTTGACAAGTGTGGGGCTACGGTTTTTATGCAGGACGGTGCACTGTGTCATACCGCCAAATCCATGATTCATTGGCTTAAGGACTGTGAAGTGAGGTTCTTTAATGACTGGCCAGGCAATTCCCCAGACGTAAGCCCTATTGAGAAACTCTGGTCAGTATTGAAATGAAGTTTACTGGGCAAGGTTATCAGTTCCATCCCATGGCTGGAGCCTGCTCTGTATGAGGCATAGAATAATATACCTCCACAAACCCTCAAGAATTTGTGTGAGTCTTCCTACACAGCTGAGGCACGTGATTAAGCGTAAAGGACGCAGCATCAAGTATTAAATCCTCAGTAAGTGTGCAGATACATATATTATAATCTTTTATGATATGTGCTTGTGTTTTGGTACGTGTGTGGGGAAGGGGTGGCATAATGCCGTGACTAGCACTGTAGAGTAGATTTCTGCTGTCATTAGATATCCCCGGTGGAGTACCCATAAGAGATTACCCAATTTGTTTTCTTTGAACTTTTAGATTTTATTTTGTTCCTAATTTGAATGCCTTGTCTAATAGATTAGTTGAAAATTACAAATGTAATTAAAATTACTTACTTTTAAACTTTTGTGAGTTAAGCAGTTTAAAGTTTTTATTTTATCCTGTTTAGAACACGAAGCCGTAAGAAGCAACGACATGGACGTTCGGAAAGTCGGTCTCCAAGTAGCCGACGAGATAAAAAGAAACGCAAGAGGTCAAGGTCAAGGTCTCGTAGACACAAGAAACGTCGCTCACGATCAAAGTCCCCCAAAACTCACAGGTGAGTATAATATTCAGTTTTAAACATTGAAGGCATTGCTGTATTTTATATAAAATTTGGAAGTGCGAGAAAATATTAATTTAGCTGAATTATTCCAAAATCTATATTAAATGGGTCTGTAGTCTTGCTTGAAGTTTTATAAGTAGGTAAAAAAAAAATGCTTGTACCTGATATTAGTTAAAATATAGTAAAATTTAATCTCGAATAGCCGATCATCTCATAAAAAGAAGCGCCGCAAGCACAGTACTCGACATGACAGAGAAAGAGTGGAGAAGAGAAGTAAGAAGTCTCGGAGACGTAGTGTTTCATCTTCCTCGTCAGATTCATCTGGTCCTTCTTCCTCAAGTTCCAGTTCTACTTCACCATCAGATAATGAAGTTCAAGTAATGTAAGTGCTTGTATTTTTATCTTTTGGTTAACCTCTTCTGAAAATTTGAAAAAAAAAATTATATTGAAAAAATTACCCCCCCCCCCCAAAAAAAAAAAAAAAAAAAAAAAAAAATTTGTAATTCAGGAAGGATAAATATAAACTCGTCTGAAACCTTTCACAATTTACATTAAAATAGGAGTTTCTCCTTTTTCTCATATTTGACTTCCACAAAATTGTTTTTATACCACATCAGCTTTCTCTTTATTAGGAAAATATAATAGTGTTCCGTTGTTTAACACAATACGTAGTTACATTCCTGAAAATGCCGTTTTAATTAAAATTGTGCCAGATAAACTGAGGAACTTGTGGGAATAATAGGGTTACATTCTTGGGAGCCCCAGAAAAGCCAAACCACTTTTTTTTTAGACCTCCAGATCTTACACAAATAAGTGAATATGTAATTGTAGTTCATTGTTGTGATGAATTATGTTGTTTTTACTGCTTAGATTAAAAATGCAACAGAAATAATAATAGTATTTCTTACCTTAAATTGTGGGTGCTGGTGTTAGTGGATGATTGTGGAGAGTTATGCTGTGGCCCTGCTAGGCTGAGGTGGATGGTAGAGGTACTGGTACTGAAGTAGATGGTTGTGCTGGAGTGTGTATAAATTCTGTTCATTATACAACTGATGGTAAGGCATCATCTGCTGTAAATACCGTTTCAGGGTCCTCTGCAGTGAAAAAGTCTAACTTTAAGTCAGTAAATCAGTCAAGTCAGTCAGTCTGTCGTGGGGGATTCCAAGGAGATATAGGTGAAAGAATACACATATAGGATATTCTAAGGAGGCATATAATTGGAG